TTGTGAGATTAAGTTTGTAATAACTTGACATTGTGAAGATGAAGTTTGTAATAGTTTGACATTGTGAAGATGAAGTTTGTAATAGCCTGACATTGTGAAGATGAAGTTTGTAATAACTTGACATTGGGAAGATGAAGTTTGTAATAGCTTGACATTGTGAAGATGAAGTTTGTAATAGCTTGACATTGTGAAGATGAAGTTTGTCATAGATTGACATTGTGAAGATGTAGTTTGTAATAGCTTGACATTGTGAAGATGAGGTTTGTAATAGCTTGACATTGTGAAGATGTAGTTTGTAATAGCTTGATACTGTGAAAATGAAGGTTGTAATAGCTTGACATTGTGAAGATGTAGTTTGTAATAGCTTGACATTGTGAAGATGAGGTTTGTAATAGCTTGACATTGTAAAGATGAAGTTTGTAATAGCTTGACATTGTGAAGATGAAGTTTGTAATAGCTTGACATTGTGAAGATGAGGTTTGTAATAGCTTGACATTGTAAAGATGAAGTTTGTAATAGCTTGACATTGTGAAGACGAAGTTTGTAATAGCTTGACATTATGAAGATGAAGTTTGTAATAGCTTGACATTGTGAAGATGAAGTTTGTAATAGCTTGACATTGTGAAGAGGAGGTTTGTAATAGCTTGACATTGTGAAGATGAGGTTTGTAATAGCCTGACATTGTGAAGATGAAGTTTGTAATAGATTGACATTGTGAAGATGTAGTTTGTAATAACTTGACATTGTGAAGATGTAGTTTGTAATAACTTGACATTGTGAACATGAAGTTTGTAATAGCTTGACATTATGAAGATGAAGTTTGTAAAAGCTTGACATTGTGAAGATGTAGTTTGTAATAGCTTGACATTGTGAAGATGAAGTTTGTAATAGCTTGACATTGTGAAGATGAAGTTTGTAAAAGCTTGACATTGTGAAGATGAAGTTTAGAATAGCTTGACATTGTGAAGATGAAGTTTGTAATAGCATGACATTGTGAAGATGAAGTTTGTAAAAGCTTGACATTGTGAAGATGAAGTTTGTAAAAGCTTGACATTGTGAAGATAAAGTTTGTAATAGCTTGACATTGTGAAGATGGAGTTTGTAAAAGCTTGACATTGTGAAGATGAAGTTTGTAATAGCCTGACATTGTGAATATGAGGTTTGTAATAGCTTTACATTGTGAAGATGCACACTCAGAGGCAGTCTGAAGATCTATTCTAGGAAGCATTAAACTCTGAATGCACCTTTTGTTCGCGTCACAAAATGTTCAAGAAGGCCATCTTCAGACTCTAACTGTAGTGGCTACATTAACAATAAAGGTAAATAAAAAAAGGGAACAAAAGTTTGGTCTGATTTTAATTAGACTGACTCAAATGAGAACAGGAATATATAGTAAGTAGGTCAGAAGATAAACAAAGTTACATAATAACTTGATAATGTAAGACAGACAAGGTTACATCTTCACAATGTCAAGTTCATAATAACTTGATAATGTAAGACAGGCAAGGTTACATCTTCACAATGTCAAGTTCACAATAACTTGATAATGTAAGACAGACAAGGTTTCATCTTCACAATGTCAAGTTCACAATAACTTGATAATGTAAGACAGACAAGGTTACATCTTCACAATGTCAAGTTCATAATAACTTGATAATGTAAGACAGACAAGGTTACATCTTCACAATGTCAAGTTCATAATAGCTTGATAATGTAAGACAGACAAGGTTACATCTTCACAATGTCAAGTTCATAATAACTTGATAATGTAAGACAGAAAAAGTCACATCTTCACAATATCAAGTTCATAATAGCTTGATAATGTAAGACAGACAAGGTTTCATCTTCACAATGTCAAGTTCATAATAGCTTGAGAATGTAAGACAGACAAGGTTACATCTTCACAATGTCAAGTTCATAATAGCTTGATAATGTAAGACAGACAAGGTTTCATCTTCACAATGTCAAGTTCATAATAACTTGATAATGTAAGACAGACAAGGTTACATCTTCACAATGTCAAGTTCATAATAGCTTGATAATGTAAGACAGTCAAAGTTACATCTTCACAATGTCAAGTTCATAATAACTTGATAATGTAAGACAGACAAGGTTACATCTTCACAATGTCAAGTTCATAATAGCTTGATAATGTAAGACAGTCAAAGTTACATCTTCACAATGTCAAGTTCATAATAACTTGATAATGTAAGACAGACAAGGTTACATCTTCATAATGTCAAGTTCATAATAGCTTGATAATGTAAGACAGACAAGGTTACATCTTCACAATGTCAAGTTCATAATAACTTGATAATGTAAGACAGACAAGGTTACATCTTCACAATGTCAAGTTCATAATAACTTGATAATGTAAGACAGACAAGGTTACATCTTCATAATGTCAAGTTCATAATAGCTTGATAATGTAAGACAGACAAGGTTACATCTTCACAATGTCAAGTTCATAATAACTTGATAATGTAAGACAGACAAGGTTACATCTTCATAATGTCAAGTTCATAATAGCTTGATAAATGTTAGGTCTATTTGTAATTGGTATATGACTTACTCTTCTTCTTGATATACAATACAACAGCTATAACAACAATAACAACAACACCGATAACACCGATAACTACACCGATAACTTCACCAATAACTTCTGATACTTAGTAGTATCTTCTGATACTTTCATTTGTGAGGTCTGTCTACTTCTGTTATAACAATCTTCCAAACAATTCTTCTCAACTTTAGACTGTTCTTGCACGTGATGTAATTATCGTAGAAAGTTGATTTTTTCAGAGTCTTTTGCATTTTGCTACATTTGCAAAGTCCCACTCTGTGCCACGTGTGGCTCTAGTTTTTGTTTGTTATTAGATTGTTTAAGTTTGATTAAGAATTATATTCTCTTGGTTTATATCATTATAATAATTATAACATAGTTTTTTATAGTCCTAGATAACCATAGCTTATTGTTATATTTTTTAGTTTGTTATTAGATTGTTTAAGTTTGATTGAGAATTATATTCTCTTGGTTTATATCATTATAATAATTATAACATAGTTTTTTATAGTCCTAGATAACCATAGCTTATTGTTATATTTTTTAGTTTGTTATTAGATTGTTTAAGTTTGATTGAGAATTATATTCTCTTGGTTTATATCATTATAATAATTATAACATAGTTTTTTATAGTCCTAGATAACCATAGCTTATTGTTATATTTTTTAGTTTGTTATTAGATTGTTTAAGTTTGATTGAGAATTATATTCTCTTGGTTTATATCATTATAATAATTATAACATAGTTTTTTATAGTCCTAGATAAACATAGCTTATTGTTATATTTTTTAGTTTGTTATTAGATTGTTTAAGTTTGATTGAGAATTATATTCTCTTGGTTTATATCATTATAATAATTATAACATAGTTTTTTATTTTACTTCTTACATTCCAAGTGAATAACTATAGCTTATTTTAATATTTTTTAGCTTGTTATTAGATTGTTTAAGTTTTTTATGTTTTTATATTTGTTATTAATTATATAAGTTTTATAAAGTTTTACAACTCTGTAAACATGATTATGTATTTAATACAATAAGGTGTATTATTTTTTGTTATTGAGGCTTCCGCATCAATCTGTTATAGGTCACTTTCTATCATAAATTGTACAGTACAGCATTAACTGTAAACTGTATTTACAATTAATAACAAAGTTTCTCAGTGTTAAAATAGTGCTCAATAGACTGACTAAAAACACACTTAAACACAGATTTTACAACCATATTCAGTCGTTTAAACATCAAAAATATGAAAGTAGTACTGAACTCTCAAAATTTGGCAACTTAAGTTAGAATAATTACAAAATATCCTGGTCCATTGATACCAGAGTTAAAGTCTACACAATTAAAACTAAAGGAATCCATCATTAATGGCCTAAACACACGTCTTTTGTCTCTTAATGAAATACGTCAGTTGTCTGAAAATACCATAGCATGAAACTCATTGTTTTTGGAAGTTGTGTTTTTATATTTCTAAAAACAGTATTTATTATGAAACCATTCATGAACTGGTGAGGTTAACTTGAGATATAAAAACACCAGGATGCTATTTATTCTGTTTAGAAATGTTTATTCTTTATATATATAAGATATTGATAAACTCAAAATTACACAGCATATTTTTACCAACTTACCTACTTTTCACATATATCAGTTACAGTACAAATTATCAAGTTTATATTTTATTGTGTAATATTGTACACTGTACTTGTTACTGTTACCAACTTATACACTAAAAACAGTTTCCCTCCAGTTACATCAATATTATTATATAAGCTTACTTATATTTTTCTTTCGGAATTTTTTGTAATGAATATTTTATTGTTGTTTGCTATTTTGCTAAGTTTTTAATAAAATGTAGTGATAAATCTTAAATATGAACTTTCTTGAAGTGTTGATCAAATAGACACTATGGAGTCACATGGTAACATACCAGGTTATTAAATATATCGCAAAAAAGATATATTACTGGTACCGGTATTTTTTATGTGTATCTGGCATTCTGGGACACCAATGGCATAAATTTGCACCATTCCAAATTTTAATCAGACATCTATGGTTCCTGCAAGTGTTTGATCAGGTCACTAATCGCAAAAAGAATGCTTTATCACAATAAGGCTGGGTTAATCAAACACTTAGTTTTAGTGGAATTGCAGGAATCACGGACATCTGATTGAAAATTGGAATGGAGTAAATTGATTTTATCAGTAGTGTCCCCTGATACACATAAAAAATTAGAAAACCTCTTTCAATCTTTTTAAGAGACAGAAATTTTATGTATTAATACTGCTGAAAAATCCAGTCCACAGAAACGCAAAAATGAGGTGCTTTAATTGCAGTTTAGCATATATGCTAAGTTCTTTGAAATTCATATCTTCTTCTGTTAAATGATTCCAAATAGGCCATAGGGTAATCTATGAAAAGTAGGCCTACTGATGTTCCCTTAAAAATTTATATGCTCTGGGCTAGGCCTAACATTCATGGCAATTTGACATCTACATCTACTAGCAAGAAAGTTTTGCCACCTAGGCCTAGTTGCCCACCATCACACAAAGGAAAGGTGTTCAAAGGCAGATTGCAATCTTTACTATTTTTTATCCACAAAAAAATCAAATATTTGTCCCTATTGTTTGAAGTATTGGCCTATTTTAAATTGAAAAGAAACGAAAAAACATAATATTTTACCTTTGATTGCTTCAAGATTGGATTCTAAAACTTGCAGAGTCCCTTCTAGGCCCATCTGCCAAACAGATATTAATGACGTAATGTTACTAAGGTATGACGCAATGTGTATCAATGACGTGTTACGTATCAATTGATGACGTCATGTTGTAAAGCCTTTGTTTACATTTTTGTACTTCAAAAATTAATCAGATCCTCATAGACTAACCGATTTCTTTGATCCTCCAATTAGACCACCTTAATCTAATTAAGCGAAACAGATTTCGATCTATGACCTGTGTCGCTGTCATAAGGAATTCCTTACGAAATGAGCCAAGGGTTAATGACGGTTGGAAAGACTTTCCTAAGGCAAATTGCGAATTGGCCCTTGTGTACCTCGTTGACATAATGATCCTGTTCCATTTTTAAGAAGGGTTTAACGTAAGGGTGAAGAGGGAGGGGGTTTTGAGCATGCACGCTCTCGTAGCCTATGCTTTGTCATTTATTAAAAATACCGCATCGCATGCCCCACTTTCCCCTAAATCATTTGAAAGACGTAGCCTAGGCCTATCATTTTATAATTCCAAACTAGCATACGTGTTTGCTTAATATTTTTTTTGACCTATTTCCTCGGGCATTGTCAAAATAATTACCATCTTCTTAAAGACAGGTTAACCCTCTTAGTGTCGCCTGTGTTGTTTTTTCTGCTTACAGTAAGTAGGCTACTCAAAAATTAACCCTCCCTGAGGCAAAATTGCTTTGTGAAATTTGTCCAAGTGCGAATTTTTTCACTTACTGTAATCCAATTGAAGAGAAACTGAAAGATTTTGACAATTTTTTTTATCAGAAACGGATTATATTTGTGTCGAATTTGAGAGAAAATTAGGCTTAAAGGTTTGAAAAAGAGAACCCCTCTGAACTCAAAAAACCGCTTGCTCTCCCAAATCAAAACTTTGGCGAGATGCAGAAAGCGTTGGTGTTGTGCTGAATTTGGGCATGGATGGGTATGACTGTTTCGGTTTTCTTTTCAAAATATGGTCGGAATTTGAACATAATTGACAGTATTGTTTTGAGAGAACCATCAAGCCATCTTTCACACATTTTAATGCATACTTTCAAAATTCGTACAGACAACATAATGTCTAGTTACCATAACAACTGGTATATTTAATTAAAAGATGGTCATTATGATGTAAGACCCAGAAAAAGGAGAGGGTAGGCCTACTATAGGCGAAAGTCTATTAATTAAGCTGGCTCGGCGTTGACTTTTGAAATGCACGTCCCTCTTGATAAATTCGAGGCCATTACCTGGCCCCTCGACCTAATGAAACCTAGAAACGAGACTTCTGGTTGACTCTCGCCTGCCCCTATAGCTGATAGCTCACGTAACGTTCTCACTGGCACCCGTCTGACAAAAAAGGGTGTTACAGGGCTTCATTTTTTAAGTTCGTGGACGTTTTTCCCTAGAAATAGGAAACATAACAAACAAGGTTTTATTTTTTTGGAATTTCCAGCCAGTGCTGAGAGACAAAATGATGACTATTCGCCGTAAAGCGTAGCGATTTTGCTCCTCAGTCGCTTTAACTCTCGCAATCGGCCTCCGTCTGACCCTGACCATGTTTTTATACTGAATGTTTGTCGTTTGTGGACGTCTTTTTCCTATAAATGTGAGACAAAATAAATAAAAATTGTTGAAAATTTTCAGTCAGTTTGTGTAATGTTTGTTGTTTTGTTTAAGAAATGAGGAAAAAGTCTGAAAAATTGACGTCTGATCGTAGCGTCTAGCATCTAGTCTCACTTTGCCTGCGGACAGCAGAGAAGTCTGGGCGTTAGAGACTAGTCTGGTTATGACTGCTATGTGTCGTTATGTCCCATATTATTTTGATGTCGGCTGACGGGGTTGGGATTCGACACAGGCCGGTATTTGAAAGCAAGAGCCATGACATGAACACATTTCTCGTGACTTGAGCGGGAACACACCATGTTTTTAACAGTTTTCTTTTGCATCAATAACTCTAGACCAACATTAGACAACGCACCAGACACTATAGCTGTTCCTTGTCTGTTTCCAACTTGGTTGTAGATGAAATCTTCTGATTATCAAATATGAAGAAGGATCGCCCATTGTTGATCATTTTATTATGAAAATCGTGTTTTCATTCATTAGACAGAACCCTACTAACCTAATTTTATTGTCCATATAAGGAAATACTTTTATCAGTTCCTTAGATAAGACTCGTAAAGACAATATTATGGAGTAGTACACAGGCGTTCGTTATGTTTAATCAATGCTCTTTGGCATCAAAAGGACGGACGGGTGGGGTGTGTTTAGATGGCATTGAAGTAACATGGTAAAAACTTTTAGTCGTCTGGAAGTGACAGTAGCGAAAAGTTGAAATGCACAGAAAATGTATAATGTAAACATGTAGCTACGATTTTACGTCACAAACCTAAGCAAACGCCTGGCGATAATAACGTCACAAACCGAGCAGACGTCAGGCAATATTGACGTCACAAACGTGAGCAGACACCTGGCAATAATATAGTGAATTTTAAGTTTGAACCGTGACGATTGTTTAAAGCTAATCTAAATGCGACGACTGTTCACGAATTTTGTGGTTAAATTTTCCCGTTTATTATGTGAGCATATTTCAATTGAGCTTGTTTACATCACAACTGAAGACTGAAAATATTTCCACTATTAAAATAGAGCTCAATACATCAATCGTAGAGTGATATAGAAATACCACTGTTAAAATAGTGCTCGATACATCAATTGTAGAGTGATATAGAAATACCACTGTTAAAATAGTGCCCAATATATCAATTGTAGAACGGTAACAACATGTTTCAGGTTCTGTTATAAAAGGCCTATATCTATGGTGAAATATATTCAATGTGGCAACTTTTCGAAACTTAACTTCGGATGTTTTAATTGATAGTTGTTTGTAGATGATAAATTAACGTCCGCTTTCAGCCAACTGATCGTAGCGTCTATCATCCACCAATCCGGTGGTACGGTATAGGACCTTCCGTTGGTATGTTATTAGTTTATTATCTTGTAATCCTATAAGGAAGTAAGAAGAACTACATTTATTATTACAATTAAATGATACCGTAAGATAACAGACATTTTGAAGTATCATATAGAAATATAACGTGTAGATAGTTGTATTTTAACTAGGACTGGATCTATTTTTAACATATGCCTGTGGGCAAATTTGACAGATTCGGAGTTCAGTTTTATTAAGTTCATTCGTTGATTATGAAATAAGTATCATCTGCAGTGCAATTATTATAGTAGTACTTAAGCCAAAGCGTTGGTGCGGAACGTGGGTAGGGCTAACGAACGATGAATGGATGCTCATGAATATTAATGAGCTCTCACGTCATAGTCGTTCATTGATTGGAGACAGAGTTTTAGATTCTATAGTAAACGAGGAATAGAGAATCGGTTCACGCGCAGATTGTGAACAGACGTGAAAATCATTGTACCACGTTGTACGGAGTGGATACCACGTTTATTTTCTTCAACACACATCTCTCAGGATTTTTAACCGTTTAGTGTGTTGTTTGTTTATCAATTGTGCCGCCATGGATGATACGGCGTCTCCGATGATTGCGGAACCTGATTCAAAAAAATACGTGGTCAATGATAACCCACCGAAAAATGGCGAAGTGAAAGCAGACGGAGAAGGTGGACCCGTGGAATTAAAACAGAGAATTTCTCTCCTGAATGGAGTAACTGTGATTGTGGGATCCATTATTGGGTCCGGTATCTTCGTTAGTCCGAAAGGAGTGATGGAGGGATGTGGTAGTGTTGGGTTGTCTTTAATCGTGTGGGTTCTCTCGGGAGTATATTCCATGATCGGAGCTTACTGCTATTCAGAACTTGGTACCTCTATTGTGCGATCTGGCGCAGACTATGCCTATTTCTTTGAGGCTTTTGGACCATTTTTGGCGTTTCTGAGATTATGGGTCGAGTGTATGATAGTGCGACCCTGTTCCCAGGCCATCGTGGCTCTTACCTTCGCTTATTATGTTATTGAACCCCTTTTTCCTGATTGTACACAGCCGGACGACGCTGTACGACTTTTAGCCGCCATTTGCATAAGTGAGTATTTTTCTTTTTCATTTTTATGCTCTGTGTAGGGTAGGCTACATTCAAAAGCCTATTCACATGACACATTCGCACGAATTTTAAAACGTATAAGCCGCAACTTTTATCAATCCACTTTTATTACAAAAACGACAGTCTTGTACAGCACTCACCAAACATGGTATGGTATCGAACACAACCATCGGTGGTCAAAACGGAATCACATTTCGAACACACCCTTTACCGAAGACAAAATTCGACAAAAACATCCGCATTCACATCCAAACACGCCAATCTAGCCCTTCCCATGCACAAGGAATCGTATTTCAAAACATTGCATCATCAAAGATGTATTTAACGCAAATCATAAACATATTGATTAAACCACGTGGTCGAACTCGTTACTATAGTAACTTCATTCTCCCGCCAAACTTGTCACGTCTATTTGACTTTACAAACAAAACAATGGAATACGCTACTTCACAACGGAAACAGGGGAAAGTCATTCAAACATATGGTAAACAACTGTATTTTGGCTAAGGTCATTTGATTTGAATTTTGAATATGGCTGGGCTAGAAACGTCAGCACGAAAGCACTCTCTTGACCCTGCACACGTGTGAGGAATTGATTCAAAAATCTAGTTTCGATTTTTCAAGTTTAGGACCACGTGGTCGTTGGTTTGTTTTGATAAATCTGGACAGTTGGTTTAGAATTTATAGTCAGTGTAGGTTAGGATATCTCTAAATATAGGATCTAATAGGCCTAATTCCTACGAAAGACATGCTTGGCACTGTGGTATTTTTTCGGTGACCTGTAAGAATGGGCCTAAAGGCTAGGCTACTAGGGTAATTTACATATAGTAGGCCAGGCTAATTTGTTTTCATTATGGGTCGTTCAATGTAATTTCCGACATGTTAAGGGTCGAAGGATGGATTACTCGCACCTAAAGGGTATTTACAATAAGTTATTGACATTGATTTCTACCAGTACAAGGGTCTTGTCCTATCCCTATTTTTTTTATGGCAAGTAAGGGATTGGTTCTTGTAGCCCCTCTTTAACACTAGTTCAAATCCTGAAAGAACATTGTTCCATTTCTTTTAGAGCTGTTTTCCATTTCCCACCCGACGTCTGCTGATCTCAAATTTTCTACGAGATTAGATGGCGTCATAAAACCAGTGATGAAACTTGAAGATATATTATGTGCCATCGATAATCATTTCAAGACTAAATATCATATCTGCAGAAAAAAAGGACGTAAAACTCCATTCATTTCATTTCTAAATATCATTTCGCCCGTTTAACAGAATTGAAACATTAGAAGCCACCCACGTATCGATCTAAGATTTGATTTGTACAAATTTTGCCATTACATATATAATTACTTAAAATGGTTCCTAAAAGAAATAACACTATAATATACCTATACATATATATAGGATTACATACATACCACGTATATATTGATTTGAATATCAATTTGGAGCGCATGTTTATTGACCGATACGGTAAGGTCTGTGTTACAAGCCAACAAAGCAATATAAAATTGCATCATTTCTAACGGATTGCATCATGCTATTTATTTACATAAATATATTATTAACGTTATTATTGTAGCAAATATAGCAAATATAGCAAATATAAATCATTTAACAACTATATTGTAGCAAATATAAACCATGTATTAATTTATATTGGAGCCAAATGTTGAAAAAATGAAATGAAGTTTTACGTCCCTTTTTTCTGTTTGACCAGTGAAGACAACACGTTGAACTTTGCAAGTTTCTTAAAATTAAAAATGTGGCCTGTATTGTCTTCCATAGTCATTTTGCCAACAGGACTTTATTTGCATGTTCGTGCTTGAGCCAATTTCAATGGTATTGCATCGTGCAATTGTTAGAGATAAGGAAACAAAGTTTAAAGGTGCCCTCACACCAGAATGATTACCAGTTGTGTATGGTTTGCTAATAATGAAAGTGGTCATGGATACCGAACGCTACTCACAAGTAGTATAGTCACTAGTCGCTATGTACTTCTATAGTATAGTGGCTATGTGCTTCCATAGTATTATCGCTATGTGCTTCCATAGCATACTAAGCCATGTATAATGTCTTCTTACACTTGTGCAGCTATTATTCATATATATCCAACGCTATTGCATCTTTATAATATCCCTGTGAACTGACTGACACATAATACATTCATATTCTAATTTGCTCTTTTCAACTTTAGCTTATTTTATGTTAGTTTATATCCTGGTATAAGTTTATTCAAGTAAATAAAAAGTTTATTTATCAGAAAGGTATATAAGTATAATAGATGATATTGTATATACATTTTGACAGTTATTATGTCTAGCGAGTTCACACCTGACAAATAACTTAGTTACCCGTAGTCCTTATCATTAATTACAGGTAACAGGTTGACATATATCAACAATGTTTACCTGTATATAGATTACCTGTTTATGTGCATAATTAGTACACGTCTGATAGTCTGATGAACATATAAGAATAGTATTCTCTAAAAGCCCTGGCGTAGGTCATGAAGTTAGAAGGAAAAACAATGGGTTTGAGATGATATTTGTCAAAATAGTTAACAAAGTTTCGTTGTTCTGGCTGATTCCATGATATCAAAATCCTCAACAGGACAGTTTGTTTCGAAACGTAGGTTAACTTTCAATAATAAAATACTTTAGATACTTTGAAACTGGTTGAGTTGTTGCCCGTCTTCATTAACCCAATTAAAAACAGAAACGTAGGACGTAAAACACCATTTCATTAAAAATTCATTGGCATTTCAAATTGGCTGATATACCATATGGATACTTCCTGAATTATTACCCTATTTCATGCCAGCTGTAAGGACGACAAATATGATATACTAAACATGTGTGACATTCAATTAAATGACCGTTAAAATGAAAATAATTGGAGTTTTACGCCTACTGCTCTGTATCCAAACTTCTTTCAAAGCTCAATGAAATGAAATTGAGCTTCACGCCTGGCTACTATGTAGATTAGATAATTCAAAAATTCAATTACTCTTTTTTTTTACGATGACTGGATATTTGCCATTTATGACTGCAATCAAGAGTATATCGGACTATTATTGACAGACGTCAAAACTATTTGACCTTCACATGACCTTTGTTTTAACATTTTCTAAATGACAAAATTACAGTTCTCATCATTTGCTTTGAACACTGGCCTTTATCCAAGGTTAGTGTTAGTGGACTGAATATAGGGGTACTAATTTCTGAAATCATAATCACATCAGGACACGTGCCTTTAAATTTTGCTAGATCGTTGGACACGATAGTTTCATATGGCAAATGAAAACCACAGTAATAAATAGGGTACGCATGTGCTAATGGAGGTCGCCAATTTGAAATCTGGAGCCAATTTGGAAAACCATTAAGATATTCTGAATTCTTGGTCACCAATGTTGATATAGTAAACTAATGATTTTATATTAAAAACAATTGTGGTTCCAGTAGTTTTTAATGTGGTACAGTAAAACATGACACGTCTTGTGACTTAGTCTTTATGGTAACAAGTTCATCAATGTCATCAATCCAGGGGGCTTCTTTTTGATATCATGGGGTCCACGAGGGGCCATAGTGTACCCCGATTCTACAGAATATCAGACTACATCAAAATTAAGCATCTGGAATAAACAATTTTTATTTTTAGCTTCAACCGGATTTCAATGCCAAACAAAAGTCATTGAACTGTAGGGTTATAAGATTGCAAAACAAACCAAAATGCACCGAAATAACCCCGAATAAACAGCACGAAAAAATATAAAAATTTGGCAGTGTTATGTGTTTTTTAGTTGAGTATATCAAATTCTCGTTAGTAATAGATTAATCTGAAATTGTTTCCAATGCATTGATGAACGCACGTGTAAAATGCATGAAGTGCAATTGAAGGTCGCATTCCAACAACTTGGATATTTTGGCGTGTGTTTTTAACTTTTTCTCAATAAGTTATAGAGGCAATGATTCAAACATTTTATACTGCATACAGTGCATACGAACGTTTGGTTTTTACTTATTTCCGTGTGTAAGAATTATACCTAGCTTCGTATGGCATAGGCATAAAGTGCACCTAGGTAACAGCAAAAATTTAAATTGGTTGAATAACTTTCAATAAAGTTGTTGTTATGATTCATAACATAACATGGGTACACATATTCACAATGTCAAGCGAACTTTACGAACTACGTCTTATACCTTGGCTGTAATAGCTACTTTTCTTCTATATCATGGAATGCAGCGATTTGATAACATTGGACGCCAGCGAATACAGCCAATCATAGCACTCGACAGACAGGCTGTAAACATTATGGTTTATTGCTCCCCTGTCGAGGATTCTGATTGGCTGTATTCGCTAACGTATACAATCCAACCAAATCACTGCATTTACAACTGATGAGATACAATGCAGTCAAAGTATAAGACGAAGTTAGCAATAACCTGACATTGTGAAGATGATATGTACATTACATCAGCCATAAGAAGGAAGTGAAAATGTATATATATAAATGTATATGATATAATTTGTTAACAGATGGGTTTAAGTATCTCATGAATGTTAATTTTCGTCTGCTGTATTGCATCAGATTAGTTAAATACTTATAAAGAACCAACAACCCCCCCACACCAGTCAGTTTATTTGTGAAGGAAGGTTTCATTTGGGTACAGAGCGTAAGTTTATAAACATAAGTGTGATCCAGACATGTACTACTAAAGATGTCCAAGTCTTTCTCCTTGTTGTTTGTTTGGCTGTCTGGCTGCAGCCCATCTTTAATACATCCAAATAAATATATTAAGTTAATCGGCGTTTTATTGGATGAATCAATTATATAAGTAAGACAATCCAAGGGTAATATATATATTTTATTACGGGGAATGTAAGTAACCGACCTGCCGCTCGATCATTCTGGCCTTGGTATTTAATTCTGAATTCGGGGCTTGATGTTTTAGGTTTATTAAGACACGCTCCTGTTGCC